CCACTTTCTCCTCAAGGGGATCATGCCCTTACCATACTCCCCAACTCCCTTCTATCTGTGACCACTTCCTCACTCAGTTCATTTTTCCTCAGGTACTTTTTCAGACATGAACCCAAATTCATTATAATGCCTTCACCGCTCTTCTCCTTTCCAACTACTTTACAGTCATCTCAGTAAATTCTCTTTACCTTTCTTAATTCCACTGGTGAGTTTACATAATGAAAATAATCACAATTTAATAGCAGTGGGTATGATAAAATTGAAATTGAGAAAATGTAAAACACAAGTATTGTAGTAAAATGGAATGTAATTGAAAAATTCAGTGTCACGAGTCTCTAAAACTTCTAAAAATATACCTAAAAATCCCCTTCAAATTTTCTCTTTATCTTCTCAGAGTCCTTTAATTAAGTTTTCTTTCCCTCAAAGAGCAACATTCAAAATTGAAAACAATTTAATGCCATTGTGTTACTATAATTACTATAGTAACTGTACTATTCTTTACATACTTCATAGCAAAACATTTAGCATTTCAACTAGATAATCGGTTTAATAGTCTTCAATGGACAAGTGTGAGAATCTATCATTTATATTACTATTCCTATGGGAAAACTTGTTTTAAGAGAGCAATTCATAAACAAACTTTAAGGAATATGAAAACTACGAGTTGGTGACTTCCTGCAACTTGTTTATTTAAAACATGGATAGTGTACGTGCCAAATTCAACAGGAAGAATTTTCCAGAATCTTCTAGAATGGTTTATCTAAGTTAATTTTTTTAAAAGACTGCATGTTCTTTTGAGAGATTTAGAGCTGACCCCTGAAATTGGATAGAAACATACATATAAGGAGACTCTTTCTGACACAGAACCTTGAAGAAGGAGAGGAATTACATAAATGATAGAACATATATTAGAATCTCGTATGCACACTTTAAGATTTTCCAGAATAACTTCACTATTTCTAGGAAGGGAATCAGTAGGAAAGTTAGAAGCATTTTTAAAAAAAAATTTTTATTTATTTCAGAGAGAAGGGAGAGGGAGAGAAAGATAGAAAAATCAATGATGAGAGAGAATCATTGATCTGCTATCTCCTGCATGCCCCTCATTGGGGATTGAGCCCACAACCCGGGCATATGCCCTGACTGGGAATCGAACCATGACCTTCAGGTGCATAGGTCTATGCTCAACCACTCAGCAACGAAGGCTGGGCAGAAGCATTTCTTTTAAAACTTCTTAGCTAACTAGAAAATGAACAATTCCAACCTCAGAATGCATTGTTCATTTATGATCCCATCAAAGAATTTTCCAAATAAGTAAAACTCCATTCCTAGATAGGAAAAAAAAAGCCTTTACTGTTATAAGGTTCATTGCAACCACAGAAGGTCAGTCAGTCTAGAGGTATTCAAAATTTTTTAAAGGATGATTTTGGAGATAATAGGTCTTAACAAGGAATTGAGACCTTGTGTCAGTACTCATATTTAAAAGACAGAGAGAGACAGAATATGCCACCAAAGAAGCTACTAAGTCCAGTTTTCAATTAGGTTAACATGACCAAGACCACCTGATGCAAAGTAAAAAGAAAAGGTTCCTATTTAAAATATTATGATGGTTCCAAAATATGAGCACTGTTGTTTAATGCACTTGGGTTCAAGTTCCATCATATTTCTGCCTCAATGTATTATTTTTTTATTTTTGCAATTTAAAAAATACTGCAAAAGTACTATATATAGAATATACTTATATGCAGGTTATTGTGAATAGTAAATATAACAAAATTTATTAAATCACCTTGCATATTATAATTAAACCTTTAAAATATGCTTGTTAATTTAAAAGTGTGTTATATAAGATGAAATCATTGGCACCAAAAAAACATACCTTTCCAGTATAATACCTAAGAGTCTGAGTATAGAACTAAGAACACAAGCGCCTTCAGTGCAGTTCTGCACAGACAAGAGAAAACTTCCCAGACTGTCTTAGAGATGTCCTAAGAAACCCCGACTTAGTTTTTTTCACTTACCTTAGAAGAGACAGCTAAAATGCCATTTTCAAATTTTAATAGTAAAACATAAAAATCAATAAAACCCTTGAACGGTTTTCCTGATCACATAGACTGTTGTACGCTTAGACAACACCTACACCATTTAGCAAAGAATTCCCTTTGCTCATCTTCTTTCCCTTCACAATCATACTACATAAGGTTCCACATCATGTGGCATTCTTAGGAAAGACATAACTCAATACCAACCATTGCTAAAAAATAAAGAGTGCAGGAATCATCAAATCAAGTCCCTTAAAAATACTGTTTAATAGAAATATTTGGAGCCACAAACTACTGGTAACCTGCTGGAGGTCCCTGCAGAATTATTTTACTGCCTTCTATGATATTAGAATCACTGAGGAGGTAGCACTGTTTTTCATCTATGACAAGAATTTCTAATAAGCATTGAATGAATGGGACCTATATCGTGTTCCATCAAAACAAGTACACTTGACTAGACTATGAGCCATTCAGATGAATATTTGTTTGCTCTTGTTTTACACAGAGTAGAGAAGTAGCTTTGAAAAGTTGCCATGGCCATGCTTTTCCTGAGCAGCAGACCAAACACTTTACTGAATATAGAGCTATATACACACACAAGTGCAAATGCAGGTTTTCTCCCTTTCTAGAAAAGTGCATATATGTAGATGACTGAGAGAGAGAGGTGCTAGTTGAGAAGAGAATCATTTTAATTATCTGGATGTTTGGTGACACACTCTCAGCCCACTAGGGATGAGGTTAATATAAATAATAACTGTTATCCCATCCCTTTAGAATAAGAGCAATTCAGAAGTGAAATTCTGGGTTAGAATATCAGAAACATGTATGTATATATACTGCCCCAAAGACTGGGGACTATGTGGAAGGTCATTGATAGGTAAATTGATTTCTAGTGAAGATTCCCATCTGCCTTTCTAAGATCCCTGAACCATTAGGATGATAAGTCTTGAAAAGCATTTAAGTAGGAACTACATGTAGATAAAAAAAGTTACTAGTTTCATTTAAATTTTTAAGTCAATGGTAACACCTTTCCAAATTTCTTTTACAAAAATCTGACAGAAGGTAACTAGCGATATCCAGGGGGTCACCAATAAGTCATAAAGGTGCTAAGATAATGTCCTTCATTAGGTAAAGTTGGCAAACCCAGAGCAATGGATTTGATTCAGCTCCAACACAGTCTTTGTTACAATTCTCATTTCAGTTTAGGCAGCTCAAATAAGCTTCTCACAGGGCTTTGAACTGGCATTCTGGGATGGCACAATAGACAATTTTACTGGAAGAATCATTAATGAACACCAATAAATGTTACTTCCTTCAAAGAAGACACTTTAACTCCATAGTCTGCAAGGCAAGAAGTAAAATGAAAGATGTTTCACTCCCTGGTGTAAGATTAAATTGAATCAGAATATGTGCAGATTTAATTTTAAGAAATGCTACCTAAAATTTAGCAAAGAACTATAGTATCTCTATAGACAGGATTTTTTTTTTCTGAAAAGGGCAATCTACATGAGCTTTTAATTGAAAAGTACACCAGTAATACTCTTTCTGTTGGTCTTGTGTTGTTGTTCAAAGATTAAATCCATTTTTAATTAATGAAAATGATTTAATCTTAGAGCATTGGTAATCTCCGTTTATTTAGGCCTATATTTAAAGAACTGCTTGAGAGCCCTTTGCAAACAAGACAAGGCTCCATATAAAAATGATATCCAATCTCTTTTTTAAGGCTATTTTCTAAAATCTATGGGCCATGACTATAAAATTCTTCACTCACCCAGATCACATTAATAATGTTTGACATGATAGAGAGAGCAAAAGAATTATTTTCTGCCAAATATGTACAGGCTACACTGCTGTTGTTTTGAAACCATTCTCCTCATTCCATTTTGGTAAATTTCCAGAGAATGTTTAAAATCTTTAGGACAGACCTTAGTTTAAGAGGTGGCCTCTCTGCCATTTTCATGGCTGATTTGAGACCCATTATGCACTGGATTCTGCATCGTGAAATCCAGGCTGGGGACAAATTTCTGCCTGTCATCTTAGGAAAGGCCAGGAGTTTTGCACCATCCTGTAGTATGAAAACAGAAAATCAAAGCCAGGGTCAGGCTGCCTGTTTCTTCTTTAATCAGCTTGCTGCTTTTTTGAGGCAATCTCAGCTGTCACTATTTTAGGCTTGCAAGGGTAATTTAGTAGAATAAAATGTAGTTTAAACAACATCTCAGGAAAAGTTCCTCCTTACACTTAATATTAAATGTAAAAGGTAATCAGTAAGTAATCGTTTGATGCTTGGCTAAGAAACGATTTAGGAAGCACACATTTTTAAAAACCACACACACACAAAACCTGATAAGACCCTGACTCAGGAGCCAAGAGGCCTGGATATTTTCCTCATATTGCTCATTCCGTTGCTATAACATCCCCATAAAACTATATCTTACGGACCAAATTTGCTGCATCCGTCACCCCAACAGTCAAATACAAATTGCAGAGATAAACATATCTTACAAGAATTTTAATTTTTTAGACAGTTCAGTAAAAATTACAGCATGGATAACTCTGTCAATGACCTCTCCTGTCTAATGTCAATTTCAGGAAACAAGTTTCCATTGTAAATGTTTAATCAGTGTCGTCCCAGGAACCCAGAGCAGACAACCTTATCTTCTCTCCCAACTTATTTGCTCTGCAAGCTCTTTAGTAGCTCTATCTCAGCTCCCTGCAAGCACTTTAGGTTTTTTCTCTTTTAAAAGAGCTGGGAGCTCTGTAGGTTCTGAGCTAAAGCGAAGCCCTGTGGTTTGATTACACGAGTCTGATCCCTGGTCCACTGCAAGCAAACTGCAGCACTTCTGCTTGCAAATCCTGGCAACGAGGTTCTAGACCAGCCACAAACGCAGGCTGCACACCTTCCACGCCGCTCTGCCCATCACCTTGCCCGAAGCCTGTCAACCACAGCAGAAAGCATCCTACCTTCCATCATGGTGGCAGAATTGCATTCCTTAATTTCCAAGGAGTCTGAAAAAATACTGGAGGATACGATTCCAGGTCCCAGCGAAATCCTCCCAACACCGCTGCCGCTGCTGCCAGGCGATCGGCTGTATCCGTGGCTGCTGAAGCCAAAGACAAGTGTTAACCCCAAAGATAGGCCATGGATGCAGCTGGTGCTGCTTCACCTAAGGCTCCCGGGAAGATGCTGCGAGAGAAAGGGAGAGGAACAGCCAGCCGACGAGCTGCACCGCCTGCGCTGCCTCGGCCAATCCCTTCAGCTCTGGACCGCGTCACATGGTAGCCAGCCCGCATCTCCTGACACAATACCCGCGGAGAGCACACAGAACCTATTTCCCGTCCCCATTCTCCTCCACCCCCGGCCCCTGCCGCTGGTCGCCGAGCGCACAGCCCCTTCCCCACCTGGTGACGCACTTCCCCCGCCCCTCCTCTCGGTCTTCGGAAACCTGCTGGGTACCCGAGATTAATTCTCAGACGCCGCCACCGTAACAGGGGACGCCGGCATGGAAGGAGCACCTTAAGCGGCTTGCTGCGGAGGGGATTGAAAAAAATAACAATAAACTTAATTCCGTGCAGCCTGGAGTCTTAGCCGCACACTTTTAAGCTCCTATTCTCTTCTCCTTTTGCCCTGAAGGAATGTCAGTGTCCGTGGCCTCCCCATACATCTGTGACTCCTCTCTCTCTCTCTCAAAAAAAAAAAAAAAAAAATCAATCAGGCTGACGTCATAAACAATTATCCCCAAAAAGGATGATGCAGAAGAAATTTCACCCCAGCTGCCTTCAAGAGATCCAGGAAATTAACCAAGCATGGCATGCCAATGCTGGGAACTGTCATTAACACAAAGAAACAAAAGAACCCTACCCGAGCGGGGCTCTGGAATCAAACTGGCAACGCTTGAGATAATTTCTGGGGCGGGAGGCGGGACGGAGGGCGGCAGGCAGAGAGGGGAGGCTTTAGTCCGATGAAAGACAGCTGTGCACGTCGCTTCTTGTCGCCGCCACCTGGACGCGCGGGCGGCCACAGACCGGACCCCGCGGGGCGCCTGTCAGCTCCGCGTTCGAGTCCCGCTGCCCGCAAGCCGCTTGGCCCGGCGCGCACGGGAGCCGCCAGGCTGTCCTAGGTGGAGTGTGGCTGCTGCTGCCAACTGCAGTCCTGATAGCAAAGCAACTTTCTTCTAAAGGACACCGTTTTCACGCCGCTCCACCGGCATCTGTAAGCGCCTTCAAGTCCATTAGTCCTCCCCGTGGAAATCCGGAGGGGGCGATTGCACTGGGTTCTGGCCGCAGGATGGATGGATCCCAGGGTTTCTCAGCTGGGATGGGATGGGATCTGGGTGCCGTGGTGCTGCCTACGTGGGAAGCGCTGCTTGGATTGAGAATCTGTCACCTGGCTGGTCCGCAGTGACCCCGGGAGCCTTTCAGAGGGCCCCAGACCCCGGTCCCTTCCAGCAGGCTCTGGCCCTGGCCGGCCGCTATGGAAGAGGAGGGTAGGTGGCATGCGGGAGGGACAGGAAGAGAGGAGGGGAGATGGGAAGGAAGGGAAAGGCCTCTGTAGAGCCCTAGGAGACAACATCAGCAGGAGGCATTTCTCCCTCAACAATCCAGCAACGTGCTTAGGAGAAAAGCCATTATGTGCCAGAGCAATTGTGAGCACCAACTGAAATAACGTGAAGAAGCAAGATGCATTACATGATCAGCACTGGGCCTCTCGTACGATTAATCATTTATGTTACAAATGTACCCATGAACTCGTAGTATTGCTCAGCCCTTGACATAGTCTTGTTCTTTCCACCAGCGCAAATATGAGGTATCGGTGGTTGGATCTGCTAGAGAAAATGTAACTAAAGAAGCTGACTGGAATAGCATATTAACAGTTAAAAAGCAAAAACTCAGTTCCTTAGCAACTTAGAAGTTAAAAAAAACTCATTCTTCTCTCTAAGGACACATACTGTATATCAATGGCCTCTAAATATTAAAATGAAATTCTCCAGAGAGATACAAATACTTGTGCCTTTTTCCTTATAGCTACGAGGCAGTTGAATTTTAAAAGAGGAAAAAATTTCTGAGCAAAAACCTGTCTAGAGTACAACTTATACTACTTTGAAAACAGCAAGAGTATTATTGGGGAAAAAAAAAGACTGGTGTGTGTGTGTGTGTGTGTGTGTGTGTATTTAGCCAAAAATGTTGTACTGATTAAGAACATGAATAGATAATAATGCCAAACAGACTGGGATCAAGTTCTGTCTCTGCCACTTAATGAACTCTATGACTTTGTACTGGTTATATAACACTTTGTGCCTCACAGTTTCCTTATCTGGGAAAAGAAGATAATAATACTGACTTCATAGGGCTATAAATAGTATTAATAACAAACCTTTAGTACTGGCTTACTATGCGCTAAGCAGAATCCTAAATACCTCACCAATAAATTACTTAGCATTGTGTCTGGAGCATAATAAACCCTCCATATTAGCTTTGTAATAAACCACCAAAGGGCTGCTGGACGCATCAAAGAAGTTTGCAGCCAAGTTAGAGTTATGTGACATGCACAGAGAACAACTCAGTGAAAGACCAGGTGACATATCTGGAAATGTAACATGTTGGAGAGTTCTGAGACGCTGCTAAGTAGAAGATTCGAATCAAATGAGATTAGTTAGGGATGTTTCTCTTACAGAGATGAATTTAGAGTTCAGATAAAATTGGAATGGGCTTGGAGTGGCCGTTCTCGATAAGATCAAGAGTTCTAAATAAGAAAATTGGCTTATATAAAATCTGGAAGTGAGTGCAAGCACTGAGATGCTGGGATAGTAGGCCTGTCAGAGATGTAAGGGGTGAGAGAGCCAGGGAAGCCCTGGCTGCCTACCTTCCCTCACCCCATGAAGTTTTTTACAGTGTGTTAGAGCAAACCTTTCAAATAGATTCAATAGGGCACGCATCAGTTTTGTTTTAGACTTGCAGTGAAGCAACTAGCTAGGGACAGAAAGAGAGTTCAAAGATTCTTTTAATCAGTGGGTATTTATAAGAAAATTAAAGTGTCTAGATTGTCAGAGAAGGACCAAGAAAGGGATGTGCAGTTAAAGGTGTTAAGGCTAGCTAGACCCATGATTGGATAAACGTTGTGTAACTTTATTGAGAAGGCACTATCACCAATTGTAAGAATATCTGCACACTTCTGCACCCAGAATCGAACCTGCCACCTTTGGGTGTATAGGATGATGCTCCAACCAAGTGACACCAGCCAATGCCTTCTCATAGTTTTTTATTTTTTGGGGGGTGGGGGGAAGGCTAGCTCAGGAACAAGGTATTTTTAGATTGTGCCCCAAATTTCATCAGTCCCAATATAGTTTTTGCTTAACAACAAGTGCAAAGGAGAATATATAGCTGCTAATATAATGGAATATTTTTAAAGATGCATTTATTCTCATTTAGTATATTTTAATTAATTTTTTCAATTTGACAAATTGACAGTTTACAGTCAATATTATTTTGTATGAATTTCAGGTTAGACATTCATATGCATTGCAAAGTGTTCCTGATATTTCCAGTACCCACCTGGCACCATTCATAGTTGTTACAATATTATTGACTATATGTCCTATGCTGTAATTAATGGAATATTTTTTGAAAGTCTAACAGAAGTCAAAGGATCTGTGGAAAATATTGGGTAAATTATTAACTTGCACCAAAGTTTCCAAACTGTCCAGGAGTTTAATCCAGAATGATGAGTGTGTACCCAGATCACACCAAGTGCTCACACACTGCCTGCAACTAGTTCAAGACCATAAACTGAATTACTAAAGTCACTAGACATTTAAAACTGTTTCTGAAATAACATTTTTACAGTGGTGATGCTCTGTTCCACATTGTTTTTGGAATAAAATCTTATTATATTCTAACTATATAGTTTAATTTCTTCACTCAATTTTAATATTTGAGGGGAAAATCAGTTCATATTTCAGAAAGTGAAAGAAATTAATGAGAACTGAATCACAAAGGAAGGAGGAAAAAAATTAACATAGAAGGAAAGTTTAAATAATGTATCCAATATCCCTCTTACTGTTCCGCTGAGGCAATTCAAATGAATGTAGAAGGGAAAATATTGTTCAGACCCCATGGAAATTAATAAAAGATCCCATGTGAAGGGTTAGATTTCCATGGGATGAAATAGTTGAAAGAGCAACATACTAGTCCATATACACGCATACTCTAAATACTCTTGGTTAAAATGAAGAACTACAACTGGATTTGACATGGACAAAATCGGGATTTATTTGGGTAGCTTGCAGAGTTATATGAAGGACAGCACTGCTGAGGGAAAGCAAGAACCAAGGTGCTCCAGGAAACTTGGATACCAGACCCAAGTACTCAGAACTCTGTTTCTTCTAGTACATCAGCTTCTTTCCTTGTATTAGTTTTTCTCCATGTGATCAGGAGCTGGTCAATTAAATCCTTTAAACTTATATTTCCACAGCTGGCCTATGCCAGATCTATTCAAAAATATTCCTGGGAAGGGCTCTGCTTGACCTGGCTTGAATTATTGTTCACCCTTTGGGCTAATCAATGGGGCCAGATTTGATGAGGTTTCATGGATGGACTTATTTAAGCCAAAACTTACATTGGACTTACTCACATGACCACTATTGTGAATAAACATGGGGAGGAAGATAGGCAAGTTTCTATAAGACCCAATCCTTAAGAGTATGAACCCCTTGATTGGAGGGGTAGAAAAGGCATTGCCAAAGGAAGAAAAGGAGCTATTACCAAAATAAGTGTGGGGATAGAAACTATAAAGCAAAAACTTGCACCACATCAACATTACCCAGTGTATTTAAGGTAAAACTTACAAAAGGATTCATAATCTCAGAGGGACTCAGAATGCCACACTACCCTATTCAGCATACTTGAGAAGTTATTTATATATTAGAGGCCCAGCACACGAATTTGTGCACCAGTGGGGTCCCTCGGGCCTGGCCTGCAAGATTGGGCCAAAACTGACTCTCCGACATTCCCCAAGGGATCCTAGATTGTGAGAGGGTGCAGGCCAGGCTGAGGGACCTCACCGGTGCATGATCGGGGCTGAGAGGAACCTGAGAGGGGTCCAGGGCATGACCGGCCCATCTCACTCAGTCCTGATCAGCTGGACCCCAGCAGCAAGCTAACCTACAGGTCAGAGCATCTGCCCCGCTGGTGGTCAGTGCATGTCATAGCGAGCAGTTGAGCGGCCTTAGCATATCATTAGCATATTACACTTTGATTGGTTGAATGGCCGACTGGCTGGCCAGACACTTAGCATATTAGGCTTTTATTATATAGGATTTTCACTCACTACATCTAAAGAGAAACTTGTAGACCTTGTAATCCTCCTCCTCCTCACTGTGGAGAGAGGAAAGGGGGAGACAGACCCTACTTGTTGGTCCACTTACACCTAAGACAAGACATGCCCTCATATGTTTGCCACACATTGGTCCATCCCTACCCAGAGAGCCATTTATTCAAACCTACACAGTGTGGAAGGAACATATATTAGTCCAGAGGTACTGCTTAATCTAGACCAGTGGTCGGCAAACTGCGGCCCCTTGAGTGTGGCTCTTC